GAAATGGGATTCAGTCGGTTGCACAGTGACATTACATCTAAAGACACTGCCTGGAACACAGTTAATCTACCGGATAATGTATCCTAGTTTTGAAAGTAAATTCAGCAGCTCAAAAAGTAGTCTTTTCTAAAGGCTAGTCAGCAGACCCTGGGTATCTCCCTTCCTGCTGCTCATCATGCATATTTCTTGTGCTGCTGTGGTCTAAAAAAACAATCTACAGGGTCAAAATCGTATTTATTTATATATTATGAAGTACTGTCATTCTTAGACATCTGCGTGCTTTAAAAACCTTTCATAACCAGTCTCATCTGGCAGTAATCAGATGCATCATCCACCAAGTTTAAGGCCTTAGTTCAAATGAAGCAAAACAATGACTAGTCAAACGTGACTGAGGTAGGAATTAAGCACAGACACATTCAGATTTTGCTGCTGGCTGCAGCCTTCAGCTTTCTGAACCCACAGAAATTTTAAAGAAAATAGTCTATTATCAACATATTCTTCAACTTGGGAGGACAGCTGAGTCAGTGCATCTGTTTTGTTTTTTTTCTTTGAAAGCCAGACACACACTAAGGCCGCAGGAAGAGTATGCTCTCATCATGGCAACATCAAGATGCTGAGACATTCTTATACATATTTCTTATACATTATTCCCAGTACTCTCTGAGTGCCTCATGGGTTGAGCTTGGAAACCTTAGGCTGCTTTTTCAGAGTTTAATGCCAAGTTAGCTGCTACAGTATTCCACTGCTGCCTGCAAACTTCTGAACTCTGGGCCATGTTGGTGTTTTAGATGTTTTATTGAACTGTTAGTGTTAAAGGTGTTGCACTAGATCCTCTTGATGAGAAAAGCAAAATTAACTGTCGTCCCCTTGAAAATAGCTGCACAGGGCTAACGTCACTCCTACTGCAACTCTTAAAGCATTTGATTGGTTTTTCTTGTTTGTTTTTTACTTTCAAATTGGTCTGCCTCAATTTCCTCTGCGTTACTTCTACAAACAAAGATGCCATCTATTTGTAACTCCTGTTAAAGTGGTATCAGGTCCCATGGTGTCATGAATACAAGAACTTACCTGTACACAGGTTAAGGGACAGATGCCTAATCTTGGTAGGCCTACAGTATTGTTTCATTCCCACACTGAAGGACATTAATTAGAGACCTATTAACAAAGCACACATGTTCTTGGACTTCTGGAGGAAGCCAGCATTCCCAGAGCAAACATATGCACACAAGGGGTGAACAAGGTTGAGAGGTTTTTGACATAATTCAAACTCATCACTATCCAGCAATCTTGCACCTGATTGCAGAAGCATATTTTGCAAGATGATTAGTAGAAGCACTTTCTCTTAGCTGATTATGTACTGTTAGTTTTCTGGCTAATCGCCCTTGGGTAGAAAAAGTTAAATATAAAGAGGTAATGATGACTCATGGGTTTTGCATGGCGCTCTGTAAATGAACAGGTTCTGACAGTAAAGAAAGGTCCAGTTGAGGTTTTCTGGTCTGTTATTGTGCTTTCACACACCCAGACTTGAATCAGCAGAGAACAAAAAGCATGAGCAATGACAACAAAATAAATGGGAACAATCACAGCAATGGTTGCCATGGTAAATGAATGACATGGTGAAGTGCTAGCAGTCCACCCCTCTGCCTCTTATCACTCCGTTGTCCTGCTAACATGTCTCCTCTGTGTATTTTTTCTCTTGGTTCATGCTACATGATGAGTGTTTTTCAGTCTTTAGCTCCCCCCTGCCACTCCCTTCACTCATGCTCTTTTTTTCTCCCTGTTCTTCTTTCCCTCCCTTCCTGCTTCCTCCCTCCCTCCTTCCCTTCACACCACAGTGGCCTCCCTACAGGCACCAGACAGACCCTGAATGCTGCACAGAGGAGGCGACCTTCCATGCCTCATGCAAACTGACTGGACAGAGCCTGGCACAGATATAACAAACAACATCACCGCTCTCAAACTAGGCAACACAATCCTAACAATATTGTAATACAGCTGCCGAGACGCACACAAATGTATGAGTCCACCTCCTGCTGGACTCATACATTTAACAATAGCTTCTGTCAAAACTGCATCGCGAAACGTCAATCATAATTGCTGTTTTTTTTGGAAGAATGTTTTTATGTTAAACCAAAAACACAAGGAAATATGAAATAAAGTATAAGGTTAAAATAGCATAATAATATATGTCTTAGAAAGTCCACTTTATACTGTGCTGGGGAATTATATCGCCAAGGTAGAAAAGGTGTTGATTTACTAAATGTAGCATAAAATAACCCAAAATGAGGTCAAAAGGTCAGGAAGAAATTTGATATGGCAGCCATTGAAATTATGTAGAAATAAAAATATCAGTGCAGCCATGTATGTTTTATATTTGATAAAAATTAAGCAAAATCTCACAAAAAAAAAAAAAAAACTTTGAAAAGATATATAACTCTGGAAAGTTTTTTATTAGAAAACTTTGCATCTAAAATGCAGTATAACAGCATAAAATATGATATAAAGTCATAAACAAGTCATAAACAATACAATAAAATCAATCAAACAAACAAACTTTTAAAGAAAATCTTCCTGTCTTGAGTTAAAAGCCATTACATAAAGGGTGAGTTTTTAAAAGAGACTAAAAATCAACAAGAATAGGGGAACCATTCAAAAGTTCTGGGTCTGTTATTTAAAATAATCTGTTTCTCCTTGTCACCAGTCTAGTCCTAAGAGCTAACACAATAATTTGATTGTTATATTTCAAATCTTCATCTGAACAATAACCAAGCAGGAGATCAGAAAGACGAATTGCCAAATGCAGACAGAAAAGGATCAGATATGATTATTTTTCTGCTTTTTCCTTTTTGGGATACATTATTTTAACATTTTCAAGTTAGTGAAGCAAAAACATCACATATTTCCTAACTAAGAAACACATTTTATCATTCCAGCTGTTATAGGTGGCAGTTATATGCTTAAAGTGGGTTTGGGACACACAGAAGAGAAGAGCGGGTTGCAGCTAATGCACAGATCCATGCATGTGTGCGAAAAGTAAACACTATTTAACACAGCAGTAAAGTCCCATGAAGTTGGGGTCTGAACAAGATCGTGTTTAAGGCCATGAAAACAATGACACCCTGAACCAAGCATCTTCTGGTTAGTGCAGACGAAAATCAGATTGTACCTTCTGGTAGAAAAAAAAATGTAATATAGTGATTTGGTACAATTGCAAAGCCTTAATAGAACGTGAGGAGTTGAACTCCCACATAAATGCTAGAAATAAACTCTATCAGCTGTTTACAAAATTCTGATTGTCAAACCTCGACTGCAAACGTATTATTAAATGTGTATAAAGAATGAATTAATTTGCTTATTCAAACTTTTTCCATAATGTTAAGACTTGTCAGAGACAAGGTTTTTTTTTTTTTTTTTTTTATCTTAGCCCCAAATGAAGACTACAGAAATCATAATCACCATACTTGCCTTAGCATGTCTTCAGTTGGAGGACTGTAAACTCCTCTGAGATTTCAGGTTCTTTTGGGGCCCCTAAAGTAAGCAGGGGGCTCTTAGCAACTGCAAACTTTGCTTATAATTCAGACAGTGGTCACTTATTCTGTTAGCTGCTATCAAAATGTGACAAATCTTTACTGTTTATACTTGTTTTCAAATAATCCCCTTTTGTCAATTGCAGAATTTCTGGAGTTGTTCTATTGATCTCTAACATAAGACATTTACATCCAGTAAGATCACTATGCCCCTTTAGAAAAGCCCTGATGATGATGATGATATCATGACATGGTCAAAAGAAATGGACTTTAATTATAAAATGTTGCTTGTAAACATAATTTCCCCAAAATTGCTGCAGCCCATTAAAAATATGTTTATTCCCTTTCAATAAGTTTTACGTCCTAAAATGTAATTTAAATTTGGTTATTTGAAAAGGACAACATTTCCTGTGGTAGAGATTTATTAAATATGTTATCTTTGTCTTTTTGTAGAAAACATCATGCAATGTTTGTGGCTCTGAACAAGTTACTTTAGCTGGACTTTAGTAATGTTTTTTTTTTTCTCCCCGAAATAAATCTACTAAATATTACAGAAATATCTCTATTTGATCTTTCTAGGTGCCATTTTTTTTTTTTTTTACATAATTTTCCATAAACATTTGTTATATATAAGTTATCTTTTTTTTCAAGCTCATGTTTGCAGCTCTAACTGAGTTTTATTTAATGGACAGAAGTAAAAAATGCCTATTTGGGTTTTAAAGGTTGCAGACGCCTGTACTAAGTAAACAGGAACCCATGCATATCACCAAAACGAGTTAAAAACAGACTGAAAGGCAAAAGGAAATTAATGGGCACTGCAGAATCCCTCTAAACTATTGTTTGCATTTATTCTTCCATAATATCTCATGGAAGAATATTTGCAAACTTGCCGAGTTTAACAAGCAATTCAACCACTTACTATGGAAAATGTCAAAAAGTTTCAAAAATCCTTACTATAAACTCTATTTCTTGTAATTCTGTATAAATAATTTTATATTTTCAATAATCCTGACCATCCTGAAAAAGGAAGTATTTTTACTTAATTCAGTATCTAAAAGGATGTTATCTTATCATATAATCCACTTAATTATCTGGTTGTAACTGCACGTTAGAAACAAAATATTTTCTCACAACGTGAAAAGGACATTTATTAAATCTGTTTGACTCTCAGCATCCTGGATCTTATAGGACAGTGTGTGCTAAAGTTGTCAAAAGCAGATATAACTTGTTGCTTAAAAATATTGACTATCATAAGGTGTGACGGGTTTACAGGATACATTTCACTGATGATTAATTGGTAAAAAACGGATTTATTTGGGAAATTGGCGCACAGGTTGCTGAAGCTGCTATCTTCCTTAAAATCGGTACACTTTGTTCATTCCTGGAAATAAACAATAGGTTGTTTTTCCTCCATCTGTGCAGAAATAAGCCAGCTCTCTGTGAACAGTAGTGTCAGCAGGACCCTTCGCTCACCTGTCAGGCTGTCGTAGCACTCGATCTCGGTGCTCTCCACGGCTCTCCGCTGCTCCTCGGTCAGCTTGGCCGCAGCTTGACTCAGCAGGCTGACCTCGGAGCTCGTCGTGCCGTCAACAACATGAACGCCTTTGAGCTGGAGCAGAGCGCGGTGGTACTTGCCTATCGCCTCCCGGAATTTCTTCTCCTTATAGCATCGATGACCCTCTGTCTTGAAGTCGATAGCTTTCTGGATCTTGAGCTCCATCTCCATTTCGGCAGAGCCGGCTCGAAACCCTCCGTCTACTCCTCCCCCTCCACCGGCAGCCGCTGAGAGGCTGCGGCCGCCAGTCTCCGGGAAGCTCTTTAGGCTTTTTATCGGGTGTTGTTTAGCTTCCATGTCCCTCAGTGAAGGCAGCTGGAGCGGACCATTGTGCTCTGTGTGTTTCGTCTGGGAGGACCGGAGCAGCGTGCTGTGCATAAAGGATGCGGTATCGGCGGAGGCAGGCGGCGGTACCAAACTGTAAGGAAGCGTCGATAAAACCAAAGGAAATAAAAGGTCTCCAGACACGTCTGTGGAATTTTACTTGTTGTTCAAATAATTAAAGCTTTCAAAAACATCCAGAGGAAGCATGAGGAAACATCCCTAAACGGTACAACCGTCGAAAACTGAATTCCTCCTTCTGATCTCGCGGAAGGATGCTCCTGTGGTTGGCACGCGCAGCTTCAGCACCACGGACAGCACGCGCGCGCACACGAGAAGCCCCTACCGCTCGGCTTCATGGGAGAAAAATAAGTCGTGAGACGTTGCTGCGGAATATTTTACGTAAAGTGAGCAAACACATGGTATAGGGCTTGGTCGTCGTGACGTCACCACTTTGCGTGGTCGCCATGTTGACGGCGCACTTTACGGCTTCCTTAGATTATTGCCTGTGACTAACGCGTACTGTTCTCCCTCTCAGCCGTGTTTTATTTCGTTTAATTTCACCGTAACTTGATTTCAACCATGGTAAACCGTTGCAGTATTGTGGGCTGTAACAGCGCATCACATGATCGCCGAGGGAAAAACCTACAAAATGGGATAACTTTCCACGCTTTCCTGCCTGGAGGCGCAAACACGGAGACCAAGTTTCACAGATAACAAAGAGTCGTCGGCTAGCTTGGATCGCGGCTGTAAGACGACAGAAAAGAACTTTCCACAGTATCCCGATGTCAATGAGAGTGTGTTCCCTGCATTTTCATTCTGGTAAGTTAAAGATGCACGGTTTTATTTTATAGCCTACAGTATTTCCTTCCTTCATCCGTGGCACCACATACATGCATGAACGCGCGCCCAGAGACTGTTGATATAGCATTTTCATCCTCGTTGGTTGATATAGCATTTGATATAGCATTTCATCCTCGTTGGTTGATGTAGCATTTGATATAGCATTTCATCCTCGTTGGTTGATGTAGCATTTGATATAGCATTTTATCCTCTTTGGTAGAACACACTGCTAGTTCCTACAAGGACAGGGACATCCCTCTCCATGTTAAAAAAAAACCCTGAGGTTGACAGCTGTCATAGCACCACTTACAAATTTTGCTGATCCTAGCGCTTACCAGCCGTCTTGTAATGTAATGTAATCATATAATACAATATAATAATGTGTATATTGAGGATCATTGATAACATTATGGTTCTATTTGTTTTCAACACTGCTGCTGTGGATAATAATTTTTAATTGTGTCACCAGGAAAACCAGCAAATGAAATGTACACCTCGCATCCGGATTGGGCACCATCACTACACTTGGGCCACACTGAGATAAAGGCCACACAGACTGCACGCTATGAGAGACAGGAAAAGAGAAAACGGCAAAGGACTGACAGTACACCTGCGATGGATGAGACAGCTATTGATGACTTTGTTCCACCCGGTAAGCCTTACAGAGCCAGCAGATTCAACACCGTATGTTGCTTCTGTGGCTTTTTCAGCTGCATGATGCACATTTAGCTAAAAGATGTCCTTATTTTATCCATAGTGGAGACACCAGCACCAGCTGAGGATGGAGCTGAGCAGACACCGCTGACAGAATGTGACTTCTGTCAGCGCCGGCGTGCTGAAATCAACCGGCTGCTGGAGGAGAACAAGACCCTGAAACGTGAGCTTGGCCAGAGAAAAATGGATGAAGATTTCCTGAAGGAAGACACCGTCAAAGTGAAATACTACACTGGACGTCCACACCTTAAAGTCAACCACTTTATTCTGGTGTTTATGAATTACTGTATTAAAGAAAAGATTGATGCTCAATATGGAACTGACAATTTCTTTGTATCAACAATACACTCTAAGCAAACATTTAACAAGTGGGTTGTTTTTTAGCCATAGGTGTGTTTTGCATCAATACCCAAAAGCAAGCGGTCTCAAACCATCAGATCCTTTTCAATGTTTATTTGCAAGTAGTGAAACTTGAGAACACAGTGTAGCGCAGAACAGTGCAGTTTGAATGCTTGTAGGTAAATGGTTACAAATAAAAAATGGACGCAATGAAAATGCAGTGCAATTACTTACAATAACATAGTATGTATTTATACAAAATGTTCAATCCTATTAAGTCGGTCTTAATGAAACATCAATGGAGAAATGGAAAGTGGAGGTATTGCAAATTATTATTATACAAATTGTAGTTATAGTAAACATTAACAGTTAAACACTGTTAGTGCAAATTCTTATACAAGTATTTATAATAATATGCATTACTTAAATTGTATAAATAAAGGCTGCGATGCAATATGTCATGATATACAATAATATAATCTATAATTGTATAATAATATAACAACGTGCAATAATATGCAAATATAACAATACAATGTAATAATAAAAAATACTATGCTTTTTATAAAAAATGTCTATGATGACCCATGGCTTCAGGGGAGTCTCATTAATGCGCTGAGAGTGCAAGACCTGAGGAGAAAAAAAATAGACATAAATTATGCAGGTAAGGACACCATTATATTTCATTCTATGCAGGAAAGCAAACGTTAACCTCAACCCCTCATGCATGTGTATACATATCATATAAATCACAGTTATACAACAGTAAAGTATAACAACCACGCTGTTATATTGTTATATCACTTAAAAGAAAAAGAAATGAAATGAGCACAGGACATTTAAACCTGCATAATGCCTCTGACTGAATGATTTAAGCTCAAAGTTACCCGTTACAGTGTTTTATGAGGTCAGATTTAATAACCCGCAGTCAATACTGCACTCATTTTTCTAAATAGTTCACTTTGAAAGACTCTGATTCAAACTAGGAGTTAACTTTAATGGCCACAGCACTGCACTATTGTTTATTTTTTTATATTTTGCGGATCTTTGACTATTTAATCTGTTCCTTAAAATTTTATTAATAACAATGTTCAATAAATGATTTTCAACAAAATACAGATGTAACACCTATCCAGTTTCTGAATGATGGTAAAAAAATCTTGTTTCTACCAGCAGCTGGGGGAGACTAGATTAGAAGATGGTTCAGTAAACCTGTCAGGACACATTTTTTTCTAACACTAAGAATCAAACAAATGCTGATTTCTATTTCAGCAAATTATTCTTAAATTTTTTTTTAAATAATTTGAATAAATGTTTTGATAAAGATTTGAGATTCCTTTCACTGAATGAATGGTCACAAAGCTAGTGTTAAGCTTGAAGTAAATCAAATGGAATGCCCCCCCCCCCCCCCCCCCTTCAAGTTCTTTCTGCAGCCGGGTCTGGCTAACGTTCATGTTGATCCTACATCTGCAGCAGGAAAAGGCTCAGATACGTGAGAAACCCGGAGGGTTGGCAGTTACCGTTACAAACTACACTTTTGAAACACATAGCAGCTAGTTAAAAGAACATTACATGCGTCAGTGGTTGTCAGCACTAGCGGTTAGAAGTTGCTAAACTAGCAGTTGTCAGAGCTCGTCTGAACACAGCTTACCTTGGTGCGTATCACTGTGTTCCCAGTGTTTGCTGGCTTTATGATCTGCAGCTCCTGAACCCATCCATTGGTGAACTGCACATGCGACTCCAAGGACTTGTAGCTTCCTTATTGTTCTGAGGTATATGCGCTTACTCCACAAACAAGGTAGCCGAAGACGTCCGAGAAGGAGAACAGTGGCAACAACTCTCGTCGTCGGTGCTCCACTCATTATTTGGAACCTCTTACGGATCCAAATTATTTATGATGCTGATTTTGTCAACATACCGGTCCCTGGCTTCTCTATTAAGTGTATCCCGGTAAATTCCGGATCCTTTTTGGGACTTCAACATCGTTGTTCTCTTCTGATTTTCCTCGTGCAAATACGTTATGTCGGCGCTATGAAATTGTTAGCGTAGCCGTCAACATGGCAACCAAGTCCCAGAATGCAAAGCGGATCCCGAGCCCTATTCATCAAAATCACTTATTTTCTTTTCTACAAAAAGAATCAGATCTTTGTTAATAACATTTTCTTACAGTGAGGTTTTATCATTCATTTAATGATGAAACATATATAAAATTTGGTTTTTTAAGATTTCAGAATTCAGTAAAATTCAGGTTTTACTTATTTGCCACTATAGCAAGAAGTAGTTGATGATTTCATCTGATAACGTTTTCGAGAGCAGGTAGAAAAAAAACATGAGGCTACATGCGATATGAGAGAAAGACAGCGACCTCAGGTGGGCATAGAGTAAATTACACACAGAGAGATCTATCTATCTATCTATCTATCTATCTATCTATCTATCTATCTATCTATCTATCTATCTATCTATCTATCTATCTATCTATCTATCTATCTATCTATCTATCTATCTATCTATCTATCTATCGTTCTTACATATATTGGATATTGGCCCTATTCTAATGCCCTTTTATTTAACAAAGGCTGAATAAAGTCTGAACAGCTGTGTTTTAATAATAGACCTTTGCAGCTTTTACTTATTTTTTTAAATGTGTTAAATATGGAAGTTAGGTCCCCCTGATAGCGGCTGCGCCTCAGAACTTCCCTACCGGTTCTTTACCTGGGAGCAAGTTATTTATTACTCTTACCTCAAACTGGGTAAAACCATATAAAAAAGGACTATAAAACAGGAGTAAAAAAGTAACAGCATTTATTCCAGGTCAGGTCATTACAGGACAGAGAAATCGCTTGGGGTTGGCAAAGCTGTGGGCTCAAAAAACGTCAGAAAGCGTCTAGCAACGATTGAGCAAAGAATGAGCCCGGAACAAGGTCATCTCCTCCTTCCTATACCTAATGAGTCTATGTGTTGCATCAGGTGGATGCTTAATTGTCCGTATCAGAAACTGACACGCCATCCATGCCTTGAAATTCATGCATCTTGCCTCTTTACCCAAGGGTTGTATTTTTAAAGGCTGTCCTGATTAGTAAGCCTCTGTACACACAGTGACATCCACCATGGGAAAGAAGGCCTTCTACTCTGTCTAATCTGGCTAAAAAAGTAACAATGCACATGATGTATAAAGAATAAACCTAACAAATGTCTCCATAAATGTTACACACTGTTTCTCTTTCTCTGCGAGTTATATATCTTAATTTGTGTTTTGATGTCTTGTTTGCTTCCTTTCCGCTATTTGAGGCCATGTTCAGGGTTTCTTCCTGTGTCTGATATTTCTTATATTGGATCATTTTGTTCCAGTATTACATTTTTAATCTTGTTTAATTTGTTAGGTTATGTTAGGTAATAAAGTAATTTCATTTCATTTGAATAAGACTATGAAGTAAGTTCAGGAAGATAATACAACTGATCACATATTCCTTAATTTCTTCATTATTATTGCTATTGTTTCCTTGTAGTTAACAGTCTTTAAAATGTAACATAGAAATATGTTGCATAAAGTTGTTTAAAAATATGAATAAAGAAAAATGTATAAAACCGGTTATAATACAGGAAATCAAAAAACTATTTAAAAAACAGCAAAAAAAAAAAAAAAATCCACTGTGTAGAAAATGCCATGGGGAAAGGCTTACCTGTGAATTAGTGGGCTAATAATAAGTTGTATAACATTGCACTACGACATATTGGTGTTGGATGGCGTCCAACTTCTAGCGCTCAATAACAGTTTATCCAGCCCAGGATGATTGAACTACATCAGATAATTGTTCTGCATTTCTTTGTTTTTGTCCATCAGACAGATTCGTTTGGATTTCACACCTCTCCTTTACAATCTGTTTTGGGATCAAGATAGGGCTTGCTAACTGTTGTGCCTGGGATTGTTGTCTGTTGAAACAGAAATCCTCCTCCTCACATATAAAGCCCTAAATAACCATCTTTTATAAGAGATCTGATTATTCCTTATGTTCCAAACAGAGCACTTCACTCTCATTCTGCAGGTTTACTGATGGTTCCTGGAATTCTGTAAATGTAGAATGGGAGGCAGATCTTTTAGTGATCAGGCTCCTCTCCTGTGGAACCAAGTACCAGTCTCAATCCATAAGGCAGACACTGTCTACTTGTAAGGCTTTAAAGTTTTCTCTTTGATGAAGCTCATAGTTAAAAACAGAGCGATGTTTGCTCAGTTGCTGGGTGAGTAGAGAGGTAGGTGGAGGTAGAGCATTAACAACCTGATCCAGCGGGGAAAGAATTTCAGTCCCTAATGAAGTTTCTTCTTGGCTCAACCTTTCTCATACCTGATCCAAAATATTCAGTCATCCTGGGCTATTGTCTATATTTATGCTACAATATGTTTGGGTTGCTGGATCACTTCTTCTCATCCTGCTTCTCTTGTTCTGCAGTATGTGTTAAGTTCATTTCATAACTTTATATTCTCTCTGCTTTTTCTCATCATAGTAGCTTAATACGATCAGTCCCTGTTCCACTGTGACTCCATCTTGGATTGAAATATCAGCTGTACTGCTGCCATCGACATCTCTGTTTATAGATGCTGGAGATTGGCCCATTTTAATTGTAGTAGACACCCTGTCTATTTTTAAGAGTAGGCTTAGAACTTTCGTTTTTGATGCATCATATCAATGATTGGCAAAACTAGATTATCACCTAGGTTCCATGAACAAGACCCTTAGCCTCAGAAGGCTCCCTGGTTGCTCCTTACTCTTCCTGAAAGTAAGAAGAACCTTACTTACTTCAATCATATTTTGTTCAGATCCAAGATTCTTTTTTGCCCTCAATATCTTAAAAGAAATTCATCACTTCTGATGTTTTTATTCTTCTCTTTTTCTTTAAAGCATAAAAAACATTTCTATATATTTACAGTGAAACCAACGGCATGTTTAGATTCTTTCTGATTGGGGTGAACTGAGGTGAACCTGAAACCATTATTTACAGGAGGTAATGTAATATTTTTTTTTACTATACTCAACTTCTAAAAGGCTCAGCAGATATAAAATAGCATTAAAACAGCAAATACTGTGTTCATGCAAGATGTCTCATTTACAAATAAATATGTATCCAGTACAAGTCAATTATTTAGTAATGTAACCTGTGAGCAGCCTTATATTTTAATAAACTAAGAGCAGAAATATAAAAAAAAAACGAATGTTTGTGGTTATATGGACCTACTTGTATCTTTAACAAAAGCTTGAGTAAAGCCACTGCTGAAAAACTAGCCTTTTTCAAAGTAATACCTAAATCCAACTATTTAGTCAACCATTACATGATAAATCGTTTTTATGTTTGTATTATATTTGTATTCACGGTGAGCTAAAACAAAATATGCTGCATATTTCACTGCGTCTTAGTCTCTTTGGTGCCTTACAATTTGATCACCTCATTCAGCAGCGGGGTGAGCAGCCTAGGAGGGTTCAGCATTTTAATCAAAAAATGGGGGTGTATTTTGGGTATCACCACTGTGGTTTTATTTTTAGATCATTTAGTTATTTCATTATTTGGTAAACTGGTTGTTTTATATAAACCGATATATTAAATGATTAATACGTTTCTGAAAGCATTAAGACAGCCTTGCTCCGGCCCCAAAATGTGCATATGCAATGTACACAGAATGGCAAGTCTAACCTGGAAGCAGCAACATTGCAAGTCCTGCCTTAGTAGACGTGTGTAAACACAGGCAGGTTCATGTTAAGCCATGAATTCAAATCATGGTTAAAATGGGCCAGTAACAATATCAGTCTCCATGGAAGACATTTTCCACAAAAGATGTTTTCATCTGAAAATGCTTCTCTTTCATGGCTTCAGAGTTCTTTCTCATGACCAAAAACATCACAGGTGGCAGGAAGTTGTTTCAATAAAAGTCGTTTCCACATGGTTATATTCACTGGGAGCAGGAAGGAGGTTGGAAAGGTTTATTGATAAATCAGGTGCTCAGTGTTCTTATAGGAAAGGGGTGTAGACATTGCTATTATATGATCCTGCATAACAACTCACATTTTAATCATATGTTGTTCAGATCCATAATTCTCCCCTCCTCAGTATCTTAAAAGAAAGTCATCACTGCTGATGTTTGGATCTCTGCTTTTCTTTAAAGCATAAAAAACATTTCTATATATTTCCAGTGAAACCAACTGCAGGTTTAGATGCTCTCTGAGTGGGCTGAGGTGAAGTATCTACAGTGAACTGATGTCACCTATGAGGTTCTACACAAGTTTCCAAGTAGAAATATCAAGAAGGTTCTAGAAAACTATTTGTGGTCAAAAAGTTAAAGGTGCTACTATCATTTAACAGAGTGATTAAAGGGATAGTTCGGTATTTTTGACATGAATCTGTATGGCATCCCGATCACCAGCGGCATGCAATCACACTGACTTACCCCTGGCAGCGTCCTGTGAGCAGAGTTATCGTCCAGTTTTGGTCAAGCCGAAAGTAGTCCTGCAGGTTTTTAGGTACAGCGAAATAAAACGTTTCTCTTCCCAAAACATTATGTGTCCAAAAGTGATATTTTCGCATCCCAAAAACATTGTAGTGGAAAAAGTCACACGTCGTTATCAATTGGTCCTATTTTCTCTCTGTTCGTATCAGTGCGCGCCGTCATTCAGACAGCGAGCCCAACAACAGCCATGTCTCCTTCCGCGGCTTGACCAAAACTGGACGATAACTCTGCTCACAGGATGCTGCCAGGGGTAAGTCAGTGTGATTGCATGCCGCTGGTGATCGGGATGCCTTACAGATTCATGTCAAAAATACCGAACTATCCCTTTAAGCAAAGATATGTTGCTTTCCTTGTCTCAAGGGTCCAATGAGGATTGATCAACATGTTTACCCTTTTTTTTTTTTTACAGCTGAAAAACATACAGTACATACTGAAGCCTTTGATGACAAACATGATACAGCAGGATTTTTCAGGTTCAGATCAAGCAATAACATAATTACTTGGACTGTTTTCAACTGCAGGCTGATAATCTAAGGGGATTTATTTAACTACTTTAGGAGAAGTTCATAAATTGAGTGCAAAAGCAGTTGGGTTCTTATACAGGAGCATTACAAATGACTAGAATATCACTGAAGACTTTATTTATTCCAGGAAATCAATTCAAAAAGTGAAACAGATTCGTTCAAAAGTGGTATATTTTTTACTCACAGCTAATGGAAAGCAAAAATGTACTTTGTATAAAAATTTGACTGGTAATTAAAAAAGATAGTTATGTTTATCTGCATGGGTCAAGACAACCATGTGAACTTATCCTAATAGTTAACTACAAGACAGTGTTTGAACCTTCTATACAAAAGATAATTGCTAAAGGTCAGAGAGCTGCATCCAAGTAATTAATGTGGTGATGAGTGGAAGGAGAACGTATGGATACCTGCAGTTATCAAAGGATAGTGGGGGAAAGTCCAATTCAAAGTTTGTAATGCTACGTTCAGACTGCACGCAGCAGAAGCAGCTAGTTTACATGTAAAGTCTATGGTTGACAGGCATCAAAAGGTCCTGCAGCGCGTTTCAAGCAGCAGGCGCAGTGCATCTTGACGAGTCTTCTGAGGCGCGGGATGCGCTACTCAAGCAGTGCTGCTGGAGTATTTGGAGTAATTAAACTTTTGGTTCTTGACGCGTGGCATCAACCGATCAAAGAAGCTGATCTGGGAGCTGGCAGGGAGACAGACACAGCACTGCTGATGCAGATCGCAATGATCACCCCCCTGAAACAGTTTAACGCCTAAATGAACTTAAAATGTTGAATCCTGCCAGTAAAATATGTTCGCTTTTATTATTCTGGTGCCTGCAGTTTGTATTACATACATTAAAAATGCCTTCCGGCCACCACGAACAGCAGTGGAAGGGGATTTCCAGTGACAGGGCCGCAACCGTGTATGGCTGTCTGAGCGGCTCAGACAGCAAGTTAATATTTAAAGGCAGGATTGTAATTTTGATGACTGAATGCACAGATGAAGTTCACAGGTGAACTTTCTCACTAAAAAAAATATTCAAAACTACTTCTTAAACACTTATAAAAGCAAATACAGCAAAGCTGCTCTCTGCTATTGAACATAGGAGCAGCAGAAGCATCAGACGCATCTGGAGACACTTTACTGAATGCGCTTCAGGAGCGTCAAAGATATTCTTGAGGTGCATCAGATCTTAAGTGTACAAGCTTAAAAAATGAAGCAGCAGCTTTTGTGCCGCTTCCAGTGTTTGCGGTCTGAACGTAGCATAAGAGATTGATAAGGCGCTGACAGCAGCTGAGGAAGAGCTTCAGTGGTCAACACAGAAGCAATCAAGTGAATGTAATGTATAAGACGGCCTAACGAAGCGGTGAGTGACGATACGGTGCAGTATAGGGGCATTCATTTCAGCTGTATAGCATTTACTAAATATATAATTAAATTTGTGTTAATTTATGTTCACATTTTTGGAGAAACTGTGTTATTGTATTATTAGTTATATAACTTCTACGCACCAAAAATAACAGATATAATAGAGGAAAATATGTGCGGAATTAATCTATACAAGTTTCACTTTTTGAACCAAATGACCAAAATTAGATTCCAACTCATTAAGATGCACTTGTATATAAAGTAAACAAGGCCAATCAGAACCGCACCTCAGCTAATGCTCATTGCTTTTAAAATACACAAATTGGCCGATATGACGCGATACCAAAGCCTTGAGTCTGAGCAGCATGAAACAGCATCACTAAAGCTTTTAAATAAAAAATACCAACATTAAATAAAAGTGACTCATTAATGGCAGCAACAAAAAAAGTAAAAAAAAAATAAAATACTTCTAATAATGATAACACCAACTTGCCATCCTGATGGAGGAAAAGAATATGATTGAATTCTATATTGTGTGTAGGGTGAGAGTCTGAATGGATGTTAGGGCTTCTTGTTTCCCAGTCTTTTGAATACACTGACAGCTTTGACGTCCATCTTGGCCCCCACGGAGTCTCCACCTCCACCCCCAACCCCGGAGCCATTGCTGCTGCTGCTGACCTTTGAACTGGCTGTAGTGGGTTTTTCCATCGCTCTGGACCTGGTGCTTGTCACTCTGTTGTCCTGCGTGTCGGCCGATGTTGGCGTCGTAGCCGTGCTTGCGGCGGGGGGCTTGCCCAGTCTCTGAAGCACACTAATTTTGGCAGGCAGGAGGCCATTTGGGGAGGAGGTAGAGGAGGATGTGGGAGGATCAGAGGGAGGAAGCTTAAATTTTCCACCAAGGCGACGCAGGGTGGTAGGAGGTGGTTTTGGGGCTGGAGCTTTCTTCAATAGAGATGGTCCCTTAAGGACACCGGCATACTGTAGGACGGAGCCTTCTCCATCACTCTCTGCATCCTCTTCTTCCATATTTTCATCCAATTTTGCTGGCTTTGGCATTTCTTCGCCTTCATCCGCCCCGTCAAGGCGGCTGAATACCCCAGTGGGCTGCAAGAACATAAGTTTAGATGGGGGGGCTTTATTTCAGGCAGGATGAAGCTGGAATCATAGTGAACACTCACCTTGCTGTTGCTGGTTGTTGTATCTGCCATTGATTCAGCTCCAAGTCTTTCAAAGACTGAGGTACGCTTCAAACCTGTTTTAGCAGAAGAAATACTTTTAGAAGAACGCAAAAAGTCTTTGGAAATAGTTACTGATTGGAGGTTCTGATTTTTCTTAGTTATATAAAATAAAGACAATTTTATGTATTAATCCTTAGTTTATGTATTGGCCCTAGTTTAGACCCTTGTGTTCAGTGGATGACAGAACTTATTAGTTGCTTGTAAATATAAGAAATTTATATTTCTGATGTTTGTAAATGAGTCTAAAAATAATCAGATACAAAAAAACATCTCACATTAGCCTGCGTTTTATCACTTTAAGCTTTCCTTATGAAATGCTCACTAGTATCATTGAATTCTAATTAGCAAAATATACTAAATGTATATATAAATTGCTCAAAAAAAATAAAGGGAACACAAACAACACGATACATCCGCAATCAAATCAAACTTCTGTGAAATCAAAGTGTCCACTAAGGAAGCAACACTGACAATTCCACACGCTGTTGTCTAAATGGAACAGAAAACAAGTGGAAATTATTGGCAATTAGCTAGATGTCCTCAATAAATAAGTGGTTCTGCAGGTGGGAACCACAGACAACTTCTCAGTCCAGCTTTCTGGCTGATGTTTTGCTCACTTTAGAATATTGTTGGTGCTTTCACTCTGGTGGTAGCATTAGATGGACTCTACAAACCACACAGGTGGCCCACCAAATGTGCTATATAATATTCTATGACCCCTTTAAACATTTGTTCAACATTCAAGCAAAGCAAGAAGATATGCCTTTTCCAGAAATTGTGTTACACCGCAGAAATTAAGTAGGAAGGAAGTAGAATCAGTTGGTTAGTATCATTAGTGAAGATGGTGACTGAATTGAAAAAAAAAAAAGAGGGTCAGTAGAAGCTTTGGTTAAGTTTAGGGGGTATACTGTGATGATTGGTTTTGTTGAAGTCTGGTGTTAGCCATTCTGTCGGCGAGACCACAGGGTCAGCCCTACCTTTCTTGGCCTGCTGGGCAAGGATTCGACGTGTACGAGGCGTGGTGCCCTTTGGCATGTTGATGATGTACTTGCCTTCCATCTCTGCTGTGACGCGTCGGCGCTTTGCTGCAGACTTCCCTTCGTCGGCTGGTTGGCTTACGACTGAAAATAGACGCAGAGATTAAACGTTGAAAAACAAACATCAGAGAAGACGAAAAGTAGAGCTGAGCAAATTTTACCTGGTTTGTTGTTCTTGTTTGCTTGGGAGTTGGACACCGTGACAGAGAGCCGATTGTCAATGGGTCGACGCACCGGAGTGGGAGGAGGGGAGTCATGGCTCAAAGCATTGGCAATCATACGGGTGGCAGCTGTACACAGACAATTTATCAAGTTATTATAGCTGTGGAAAAGGTCAGGAGCAGGAAGTCATTTAGGGATACATTAACCATAAAACAAGAGTAATTAATTATTATTTGTGCTAATTTTCACCTTTTTAAGTCGTGGGGCATTAACATTTTTTGGCACAAAAAATATACAGGGTTTATATAGGATTGAATAACTCAAATTTAATGCTCTTAGAAATAATTGTAATGCCACCAACAGGTACCCGTCGATAGGCTGCAACCATGTTCCGAATTCCTCGTTTTCTGGAAACTTTTGTTGAAATTAGCTGCCCCCCACAGCACGTGGTGAAACTACAAACACCATATGATCACTGGAGGTGCCATCACATGAGGTAAGATTTTCTTCTGGTCAATCATAGAAGACCATGGTGCCTAATGGTGCATTTACAAAAAACGCGGTGGTCGCAACGATTTATACAAGCCATGCGGGGAATTCACCGCTCTGGATTTCAGATGCAAAGTGTTTACACCCCGGACCACATCATCAAATCTGAGGAGCTTTCACTGCGTGAGCCGCGTCTAGATGACGGTCAGATTTTACTGGACTATCTTCTGAATCTACCCATGCAGAATAAGCACTGATGCTGGGCAGCAACAGACTGAGGTCTATGCTGGAGGTAAGGGAGGATGACAAACAGTACTTCTAGGGTTAAATCAAAACAGCTTGTTTTAAAGCCACAGAAAACCCTCTTGAGAGCAATCTTTAATTGTTATTGTTAAGAAGAGAGCCAGATGGTAAGTGCTGCCAATTTGTCTCTGCAACCTATGAGGTCTGAGTAAGATTAAATTCTGTTAAACCTACAATCAAGTTTTATAGTCATTTAATCTATACATTGGAAAGTGTTAAAGTGCTTGTTCGTGGTAATCTCTTCTCAGGAAAAGAATCAGGAGAGAAACTGTGAAGTTGGAAACACTATCGCTTTCCTTTACACTGTCCGATAACAGAAAGATTCATATTTATTCGGTGCCTTGACAATTTGACTCTTTACTTATATAATAGTGAAGTATAACTTTACTTAAAAATCTCTCACTTTAAAATGAAGTGAATAACAATCATCTGCTGTAGCAAAGGTAGAGCTTTCAGAACTAAGTGAGCTGAGAATATGAAAGCAGTATCCTTTTGTTATATTCTACCAATCAACCAAGCAACACAGGGTTAGGGTTGTTACATGTACAAGTGTGACGCAAATATATATAATAATACCCAAATAATTTTGAAGACTATAATTATCCTCCTACAGCAGATGCACACACCCTGTATCATTAAGCAAATTGTTCAGGAATGGCTAAAAAAAAGGGGTCAACACCCTATAATACCTCACAAAGCATGGAACTGGATCTAAAGGAGCTTGCCTGGGATATCCAGGACAGAAAACAAAATCAAATTCAAGCCAATTATAGCCCATATTTTAAAGCATCCATCATAATGAACCTTTTGACCTCAAATAAACAGCAGTTAAAATCCCTTACCCCCATTATGTGGCCTCAATAATGAATTATAGACGCTCTGTTTGTTTGGTCTGTGCATGTGTAATTAATGCCAACATGGCGCATGATGATTCAGGCAAATAGTTAACTGGCTTCTTGACTTGCTGATGGTTTCATTAATTATATCCTCATATTTCTTGAGAAGAATGTGAAGACACTATATCAGACTGTGGGGATGCACTTTGCACCAGGCTGAACTTTACAAAGCACAACTTAGTACCTTTATTTTCTGAAACAAGATTTTTCTGAATACTGCCATCCAGGTCTGTTTTATATCTATTAAAATTACTTTCATCAACTCTTTGGATGTTTCACTTTCTAAATGTTTTTCTCTATTAACTGTCTGATAAACACAACATGATGTTCTAGAAAGCTTGGCTACTTCTGCCTTAAATAAAAAAAAATTAATCGGATTTTGTTACTCACGAGTGTTGGCGGTTCTTCTGAGCTCTGCTTTGACACTTGTCTGTCCTGATGTGATGGCATCGGTTGCCATTTTGCACATGTCCTGAAAAAACAGCAGCAGAAACTATGTCATTTTAGAGGAATTGAAAAAATTATTTTTGGGCGTCTAGATCAGAAAACAAAAACAAATTAACACAGAGTGAGTCAGTAAAGTGCAGTGATAAGCAGTGCTTTTTCAACATACAAAGATCAGCATGAGAATTTATTAAAACAAGTTACTAAACAAAAAAAAACCTACAAAATGATGTAATGACCAGAAGACAACACAGAAAAAGTATATTTTGTTTTGTAAAACCTTTATACTTTATAATAAAGTTTTAATATTGCACAGAATAATATGAGAGAAAGTATTTGCCCTCCAACTGGTCTCTTTTTGTCACACTTAAACCCTCCAGTGTGACTAAATATAAAACTATTTTACAAAAATAAGTGGTTTGTTAATCACAAAAACAGATCACCCATATCTCTCACTTCACTGCCTGCAGAGGCTCCAATACATATCACCCTGTTCCTGCAGCAAATCCTGAGAACTGTCGTGAGGAAACTTTGTGCTTTCAGAGTAATGAGAAGATTGCTTGTTGCCATAAAGACAATACCTCAAAGGTAAAGCATGTCGAAATGTATCAAAAAACTAATACTAGGGCAAAAACATTTCACAGATAAAGAGCCATTTGACCGCCACCAGATAGTGGACTCTATAGCGAATGTCTACCTAATTTAGCAGTTTGCAACTTAAAAAAAAAAAAAAAAGTTTTAACTCATGTATTTAACTATTGCTATGTCCCAACATGAGGCAGATAATCTGTGAAAAATCAGACTCTACCTCTGCCTCTTCCATGTGTTCTGTTGTGTTACTCTGCTCAGTCAGAAAAACACAATCACAGAGAGGGCCTTTGGGCTCTCAGCCACTCTTTGATACAGAAAAAAAAAAATAGTAATGCATAAAACTATTAGCCATACTTTCAGGGAATTTTGAAATACTGACTATTGATTGTTTATTTAAATATAGCCTGCATTTGGCTTTGAATATTTATTTTACTTGACATTATTCAATATAAGCATTGCTGCGATACTTAGTTGACTTTTTGTATAATTGTTAACAATCTATTGAATACCGTATAACTTTTAGCAGGTTTTCATTTTTCCTTTTGACTGAATACTTTCCGTCTGTATGTTTTATTTAAATTAGGTTTTTTCATTATTCAATTTTGCAAGCTCAGCCAGTCGTAATATCTATATCTACATATAAAATAATTAACCGATAATCCAAGTGCTCGGCAGTCATTGGGGACTGGTATGAGGATCAGCATTAGCATTCCTAATGCAAACTGCATGCACACTAATTTCCTACAAACTATTTTCCACTGATTACGTATTACTGGTCTTGAAATGAGCAAGTATGGTTCAATTTTAAGGGCAGAACTAAGAGCCAACAGAAACATAAAAAAGGGTATTATAGCAGCCAGTTATTTGCATTCTAAAATATATAAACAGCTCTTTCAGGCCGCTTATATATTGTTAAAAATATAAACGGCATTAACTAAAAATCGCACCATTGCAGCTGCAACCTTGACTGTTATAGTTAGAGCACTGTTGCATTATGGGCCCTCCTACTGCTCTGTGATCTGTCCAGTCTGTTTTAGACCGTAGAGGATTTAGCCTTACATGGGGAGTCAGTCTGGCTGATCAGGCTATACAGAAAAACCCCAGTCTGAGAATCAAACCCAGAACCTTCTTGGTGCACAGCAAAATTGCTAGAAACTGTTTCACCGTTCAGCCCATATTTAAGCATGACTAATAATAACAATAAAATATATAGAAAGGTAAACACAAACAAGGTAAATATTCAAGTGTGGCCTCACCTGCCTGTACACCTGTTTGGCATGTTTAAGAATGGCAATGATGTCTCCAATGACAGTTATACCGAGGTCCATCATAATGTCTTTACTAAGGTCCATCAGCATGTTCTTTTGAATCCTGGCGGGACAGAATCAGATGCAGACATTAGGGAAATTATACATGCTTAGTTAGTTTAACATAATAGAGCTTCACTGAAAACCCAATTTACCGGAAGGTTGAAAACAGAAAATCTGTTTTTTTTTTGTTTTTTTTTGTTTTTTTGACCATATCCCTGCATTTCAAGGTTCTCTTATAAGCAACAATCCTCTAATGAGGAAGACTAAACAGTTAAGCCTTTTAAGTGTCTGCAAGTATTTGAAAAATGTAAATTAGAGAGGACATAAAAGCTTTGTGTAAATAAACTGTTGCATATGGAGCCATGTCAGTAGGTAACATAAAGCTAAACCTTTTACACATAAGTTCATCTATTAAATCCTTTTGAAGCGTCAATTCTTTCTCAGTCTACAGTAGGACAAGCAGGTAAATGTTGATGTTAGATATTGAGCGATACAGGTTTTTAGGCCAATGCTGATGCCGTTTATTGTGACATAAGTCCAATCAATCCCAAATATGTGCTACTGTTATTCAAAGCCAACTTAGCTCTTTCTTCCTTTATTAACATTATTAAAATAACATGTTAACAGATGTGACATAAGTCTCAATTTAAACAAAAAGTAACATTTACTAAAGATCAAATAAAATATAAAAAATTCAAAGCATGGAAAGATAAATGTTGCATGTTCTCACATAACCTTATGGGATGGGTGTCCAACTCCTTTTTCTTTTGATCTGTTCATATTGAAGGTGATGCTCATATCTCCCATCAATATGTGAACTATCAAACTAACTCAGAGACGCTGTTCTGATCCACTGAAAGGCGGCAATGCATCAGAGCAGCAATGCTGCCTTTCATCGGGTAGGAAAGAATATCTAAAAGACACCGACTGGTTCAGCTTGACAGACCGCATGTTTGGGAATCCTGAATCTAAACTCTTCACTCCTACCTTCAAAGATGGCTCTCTGTCTACAAATGAGGTGGTAGCATGAGTTAACTTGAGTCTGAAGGGTGCCAGGTTTTTACAATGATTTTCTCCGGTATAAGTGGAAATAAGGAGGTAAATGAGCTTCCATAGCTGTTAGGCTAATTAAAAAAAAATGTGTATATCAGAATAATTTCAGAACCTCTTTGACAATGTTCAGGTGTAAAAAGGAATATAAAAACATTGCATTTAGTGGTAAAATTAGCAAGATACAGCCCTGGTGGAGGGAGATCATGTCAGTTCAGGGGGGATACGCTCGTAAAAAATTACCGTAGCAGTCTGAACTTCAGCATGGCGGGGAACAGACAAATTTGACCACTATGGTGGAATACGCTTGTTAGAACCTAACCACCTAATAGAACTGGAAATGTGCGCGTGCTACTTCTGTCCCACAACTTGGAGGATTTTACTGTAATAAAGTGATGCACAGAGAGAGCTCTCTCTGTTTTATTTTACGAGTCACGTTTTGTGCAGCCCTTCAGAACTTTTAATACTAAAAAGCATAAAAAATTATAATATGGAAGTTGAAATTAGCTAGGAGAAATTAGATAGAACCAGTCTTTTAGCTAGCAATGCGTACATTTTACACCATTGCTAAAAATATAAGAAATTGTACACCTTGCTTTTGGGACGTACGGCTTTGGTACGCCCTTATTTTCCCCCCCGGAAACTTCCCTCAAATGTTCAAAATTTGCCGATCCGGACTTTACTGGGCCACCCTCTTGAAATCCCCTTCTAGCCTTGTGGCGTCTTTGTTAGGGGGAAATCAAAAGCATCAGGTTTACATTAGGGCTGCACTAGCTATTATTATATAAATCGATTCATGTGTCCATAAATTTTTTTGATTAATCAATTAATAATCGAACAGCAAAAGGTTCCCTAAAGAAGAATTTTTACAAAATTAACTTTTCCTGCTGGACACTGGAGCACCAACCAATCAGAAAAGCTGATCCAGGATGTTTCCGGGGGGAGAGACACTACCTGCTAGCTGTCGTCACTTCTGCAGACATTCTGCATAATAAAAATATATATCAAGGGAGTTAAACTCCAAAGGTAAAAAAAAAAGTTGGAAGAATGGATTGTTATGTAAAAGGAACAGAGCTAAAACATGTTAATGAAGTATGGTGTAAAAGTTTATAAGTACCCAAATTGAGTGGAAATGTTAAAACCTGCTGACGAAAAATATTTGATTGTATATTCTGGTACGGTACTTGCAAATAAAAGCAGTGCTGGCTACACTTCCTCCTCTGTTGGTTTGCAGATTGTGTTGAAGACTGCTTCAGTTTGTTTTACTTGTTGTTTATGTAGTAGCAAAGATGTACCTCACAGTCTTGGCTACACTTTCTCCTCTGTTGGTTTGCAGATGTAGACTATTTTTCAGTTTGTCATAGCTGAACTTCTTGTATACATAACAATCAAGTTCTACCTTTAGCAGTAAGTTTAAGTTACACTTTCTGATTGATTTAATTAACCTATGAAACATAATATTGTACCTAAAAATTATCTCATGTCTTTCTTAAGAAATGTCCTCTAGTGAAACGAACATTCTTCCTATAATATGGACAAAAGTAGGGTTGTAACAAAAACAAATAGTTTGCTGCATTCCACCTCAAAATGCAGGAAAATAGTGTTTCAAGAGTCTAAATTTAAACATTTTACAGGGGAGGATGCCCTCAGACCCCCCTACAATGCTTGCATGTCTAAAGAAGTGATAAACCAAGGTGTAAACCCTATAAAACATTCCTAACTAAAAGCCTGGCTAGAACTAAAGGTTAAACCTTTACTGAACCATCAATTGGAGGGGAGGCACAATATCTCTCCTCATTACTTCTCTAATAAGACATGTCTAAAGATTTTAAGTTACCTGTGGTCCACGAAGGAAACTGCATAGGTGACAGCAAGACCGGCTGGAATCCCGGCATCCTTAAAAAACTGAATCCACTCTGAGGTGGCTTAGAAAACAAATAAAAAGAACATTTTATTTTAAACAAAAAAACACTTAATATTTCTAAATACTAAACAAAATGCCCAGAGAGGCAAACTACAAATTATAAATAAAGACTTTTAGATTGAACTCTTGAGGAAAATTATAATCAATAAAAAATGCTTAGCTAAAACTTTCTCCATAATCATCAAAGAATGAACAATAACTGTATCTATTTTATAATAAAGCAGTGTCCTTTATATATATATATATATATATATACACTATATTGCCAAAAGTATTTGCTCACCCATCCAAATTATTGGAATCAGGTGTTCCAATCACTTCCATGGCCACAGGTGTATAAATTCAAGCACCTAGGCATGCAGACTGTTTTTACAAACATTTGTGAAAGAATGGGTCGCTCTCAGGAGCTCAGTGAATTCCAGCGTGGAACTGTGATAGGATGCCACCTGTGCAACAAATCCAGTCGTGAAATTTCCTCGCTCCTAAATATTCCACAGTCAACTGTCAGCTGTATTATAAGAAAATGGAAGTGTTTGGGAACGACAGCAACTCAGCCACGAAGTGGTAGGCCACGTAAACTGACGGAGCGGGGTCAGCGGATGCTGACGCGCATAGTGCGAAGAGGTCGCCAACTTTCTGCAGAGTCAATCACTACAGACCTCCAAACTTCATGTGGCCTTCAGATTAGCTCAAGAACAGTGCGCAGAGAGCTTCATGGAATGGGTTTCCATGGTCGAGCAGCTGCATCCAAGCCATACATCACCAAGTGCAATGCAAAGCGTCGGATGCGGTGGTGTAAAGCACGCCGCCACTGGACTCTAGAGCAGTGGAGACGCGTTCTCTGGAGTGACGAATCGCGCTTCTCCATCTGGCAATCTGATGGACGGGTCTGGGTTTGGCGGTTGCCAGGAGAACGGTACTTGTCTGACTGCATTTTGCCAAGTGTAAAGTTTGGTGGAGGGGGGATTATGGTGTGGGGTTGTTTTTCAGGAGCTGGGCTTGGCCCCTTAGTTCCAGTGAAAGGAACTCTGAATGCTTCAGCATACCAAGACATTTTGGACAATTCCATGCTCCCAACTTTGTGGGAACAGTTTGGAGCTGGCCCCTTCCTCTTCCAACATGACTGTGCACCAGTGCACAAAGCAAGGTCCATAAAGACATGGATGACAGAGTCTGGTGTGGATGAACTTGACTGGCCTGCACAGAGTCCTGACCTCAACCCGATAGAACACCTTTGGGATGAATTAGAGCGGAGACTGAGAGCCAGGCCTTCTCGTCCAACATCAGTGTGCGACCTCACAAATGCGCTTCTGGAAGAATGGTCAAAAATTCCCATAAACACACTCCTAAACCTTGTGGACAGCCCTCCCAGAAGAGTTGAAGCTGTTCTAGCTGCAAAGGGTGGACCGACGTCATATTGAACCCTATGGATTAGGAACGGGATGTCACTTAAGCTCATATGTGAGTCAAGGCAGGTGAGCAAATACTTTTGGCAATATAGTGTATATATATATCCATTAATTCAAGTGATACATTTGACTTTTTTTCTTCATAGTCTACACTTTTGCTTCATCCTCAGCATGTGTTTTGTCATGTAAGCTTTTTTTTTTCTCTCTGCTTACAGAAGATGCTCTTCTTTCTGCTACTTGCTTTGGCTCTGCTGCTGATCCCAGACATGGCAGTCTACGGTATCAGTCACGAGAAATATATATATATATATATATTTTTTAATTCCTTTATTGTCCAACGATGGGGAAATTCATTCTCTGCATTTAACCCATGCCCTTGGGGAGAAGTGGGCTGCCATTGTGTGGCGCCCGGGGAGCAGTCAGGAGTTAAGGGTCTTGCTCAGGAACCCATAGTGGAGGCTGTGGGGATCTAACCGGGTAATTGCAATCTTCTTGGAGGACAAGTGCTCTGCTCTAACCCACTAGGCCAGGGGTCTGCAACCTGCGGCTCCAGAGCCACATATGGCTCTTTGGACCCTCTCCAGCGGCTCTTAATAGCGGCTAAAATGCATATAAAGAGCTAAATAATTTACTATAATATATACCGGTATCAATAGCTTTAGCTTTTTTTATAAGATGGAAAAGAAATAAGATTAAAAGAACCAGAAATATGTTTTAAGAGACATTTTTCTATGAATTAGCTTGAAAATGATACGTTTTAACATTAAAAATATATGAATTGATTGTTTGAGATGGCAACAACTAATTTCCTATACAAGATTTAAAAAAAAAAGGTTTTCTAGAAAAAGTCATGGTATATTTTGCGGCTCTAAACAACTTTTATTTGGTAGTACTCTGGGCAAAACGGCTCTTTGGATATGAAAGGTTGCAGACCCCTGCACTACGCCAATACTCCCCTAAGGAGATGTAAACCTGAGCAGACAGCAGCATGTTGAAGACTAATACATGCCGACCATAAGCAGCTGGGGGATATTTATAACACCAGCGATGAAGCCATGTTGGCTTGAGTTACAGATACAGAGTGAAGGAAGCCCAACAGCTGCCACAACAATAACCGACCAACACCCTGACTCCTACTGATGGAGACTGAGCTCTCACTATAGCTAAATAACCATTTTACACTTTAGAAAAAAGCCACAGAGTGACTCATCTTACACGACTGATAAAACTCAGACGAGGTTAAACATTTTGAGGGCTTTTGCAGGTAGAGGGAGGGCACACAAGGGAACATTCTGTTTAAATACAGTGACGGCGGAAAACAAAACAAAAAAAGTTCAAGCTTTGATCTTAAAATCATGTTTCCTCTCCATAACATGAGATTCTGCTCCAACAAATCTGATACAAAATCTACCCGAGTGGGAGATAAACTTGTAGAAATGCCTAACTATATAATCTGAAACAAAAACATTTTAAAATTAGACTATATTGCAATATAGGCGGGCGTGTTTTAGATACCACAAGTAAAGAATTAAGTTTGTTATTGGAGCAAATAAGGCATCAAGTTATATTTCGTATGTCGCTCCACTGAGTAATATTGAGTTATATCGGACACACTCTATGTCTGGTAAAAAATAAAAATAAAAAAATTCGAAACTTAAGCTTTTAAATAATTAAACAGCTCTATTTTATCTGCTGTCTCTCACACAAAGAAAGAAAATCGCAAGTTAAGCAAACAACTACCGGCAGATGTGCATTTAGCATCTGTTAGCATCCCTTAGCGGCAAAATAAAACCACAAAACATTTGTCGACGGGGCCAGCTATAAACAATTTAAACATTAACTGTCGCGACAAAGAAAGCCGTTAACATGGGTGTCATCTCTCAAGGATGTTTATAGAAATATTTTAGGGGTTTTGTCAAATATTGTGCCTCGCTCGCCGGGCCTCGCCGCTCTCACCTGTTGTCACAGTCGCCATGTTTGCAAGGGGAGATGACGTAGTTTCCGGTAGAAAGACCAAAATATTAAAATTGACGGCAGTTCTGAAGTATTGGCGAGAGATGGCGAGCGAGACCCATTCATCAACATAAAATTAGTCATTTTTTTTAGTTTCTTTTTTTTTTTTTTTACTTAAAGCCCTGCCCTTTTTCTATAAGATTATCTTAAAACAATAATTATGATTTAGCTTTTCTGTATTTTAATTATAGGTAAACACTTGAAGTTCTGACTTTAGGTAGAGGTTCCTCTGGCCACAATCGCAGCAAATACAAAATGACAGGTACAGGTGCTGGTCATAAAATTAGAATATCATGAAAAAGTAGATTGATTTCAGTAATTCCATTTAAAAAGTGAAACTTGTATATTATATTCATACATTACATACAAACTCATATATTTCAGATGTTTATTTTGTTTAATTTTGATGATTACAAATGACAACAAATGAAAATCTCAAATTCATCATATCAGAAAATTAGAATATTGTGAAAAGGTTCAAAATTGATGGCCCCTGGTGCCACACTCTAATCAGCTAATTAACTCATACCACCTGCAAAAGCCTTTAAATGGTCTTTCAGTCTAGTTCTATAGGCTACACAATCATGGGGAAGACTGCTGACTTGACAGTTGTCCAAAAGACGACCATCGACACCTTGCACAAGGAGGGCAAGACACAAAAGGTCATCGCTAAAGAGGCTGGCTGTTCACAGAGCTCAGTGTCCAAGCACATTAATAGAGAGGCGAAGGGAAGGAAAAGATGTGGTCGAAAAAAGTGTACAAGCAAGAGAGATAACCGCACCCTGGAGAGGATTGTGAAACAAAACCCATTCAAAAATGTGGGGGAGATTCACAAAGAGTGGACTGCAGCTGGAGTGAGTGCTTCAAGAACCACCACACACAGACGTATGAAAGACATGGGTTTCTGCTGTCGCATTCCTTGTGTCAAGCCACTCTTGAACCACAGACAGCGTCAGAAGCGTCTTGCCTGGGCTAAAGAGAAACAGGACTGGACTGCTGGTGAGTGGTCCAAAGTCATGTTCTCTGATGAAAGTAAATTTTGCATTTCCTTTGGAAATCAAGGTCCCAGAGTCTGGAGGAAAAGAAGAGAGGCACTTCATCCACGTTGCTTGAAGTCCAGTGTAAAGTTTCCACAGTCAGTGATGGTTTGGGGTGCCATGTCATCTGCTGGTGTTGGTCCATTGTGTTTTCTGAGGTCCAGGGTCAACGCAGCCACATACCAGGAAGTTTTAGAGCACTTCATGCTTCCTGCAGCTGACCAACTTTTTGGAGATGCAGATTTCATTTTCCAACAGGACTTGGCACCTGCACACAGTGCCAAAGCTACCAGTACCTGGTTGAAGGACCATGGTATCCCTGTTCTTAATTGGCCAGCAAACTCTCCTGACCTTAACCCCATAGAAAATCTATGGGGTATTGTGAAGAAGAAGATGCAATACACCAGACCCAACAATTCAGAAGAGCTAAAAGCCACTATTAGAGCAACCTGGGCTATCATAACACCTGAGCAGTGCCACAGACTGATCGACTCCATGCCACGCCGCATTGCTGCAGTAATACAGGCCAAAGGAGGCCCAACTAAATACTGAGTGCTGTACATGCTCATACTTTTCATGTTCATACTTTTCAGTTGGCCAACATTTCTATAAATCCTTTGTTTTTATTGGTCTTCAGTAATATTCTAATTTTCTGATATGATGAATTTGAGATTTGCATTTGTTGTCATTTGTAATCATCAGAATTAAACAAAATAAACATCTGAAATATATGAGTTTGTATGTAATGTATGAATATAATATACAAGTTTCACTTTTTAAATGGAATTACTGAAATCAATCTACTTTTTCATGATATTCTAATTTTATGACCAGCACCTGTAGATATAAGGGTGTAGTTTATTTTGTTTTTTTGGTTAGACATTTCTGACTTAGGAAGATAAACACAAATATGCCTTTCTTTTCTTGTTTACAGGGAAAAAAATGATTTTTTTTTTTTCAGAAAAAAATCTACTCTGTGTCCTGGATATTTATGTCTCAGGCATCCATCCATCCATCCATCCATCCATCCATCCATCCATCCATCCATCCATCCATCCATCCATCCATCCATCCATCCATCCATCCATCCATCCATCCATCCATCCATCCATCCATCCATCCATCCATTTTCTGTCACGTGCTGTCATCTCCTCTATGGGCGAGAGGAGGGTTACACCCTGGACAGCTCTGTCTCAGGCATAAGTATGCAAAACTATGTTTTTTTTAACAAAACAATATTTTTGTTGATGCTAAGCATGTGATTTCTATTAAGAATGCCCTGATACAAGTTTTTCATATATGATACAGTGCCAATATTGCAGCTTTAAGTATTTACCAAGACTGGTATTGACTGTATATAGGGTCAGCATGGATCAAATATACTTTTATAACTCATTTTGTAATGTAGAATGTTAGGAAAGAATCGACTAATTGAAATTACTTAACAGAAAACAACAGTAATGAATGACAGGAATGAGAACAACTGACCCATTTAGTATTAACCAATGGGTTAGCTAAACTTTAAACATACGGTACTTGGATAGAAGTGGAGTCTTTCTATCCGCTCACTTATATTGAATTATTTTTTATTATCAATATTGGTTCAAGACATCTCTGATTTTATCCAAGCTAATGTTCTCATGAAAAGTAAGATTTGCTGTTTTTAGTGCGGATTTATACTTTCATTGCATCTGAAACGCAAATATTCACTCTGACGGCCTGGGTGCTACTCATATGTTCACCTGCCTGAAGAGCTCAAGGAGAGCCAATGAAAGTGTTTAAAGGGTTCCCACTTTCACAGCACTTCTCTCATGTACATTGGCAAATAAGAAGATAAACATGTTTAAAAATGCAATTTCTGCAACCATTGCACGGATTAAAGGACAGTGTATCGGATTATTTTCAGTCTAACTTTCATAACTTTCAGTGTAACCAGTGTCAATGCTGAAATACACTGAAAGATAAAGGGATAATAAGCTCATAAAATATTAATATAGCCATCTTGATTTCACCATAGGGGGACAAATTTGAGTGTAGAAGCACACTACACTGATATTTGCTTGCGAAAAACATGCAAAAGAATCAGCAAATAAATGAAAGCCTTTTCCCTCCCATAACCAGGAGAATTGTGCTATATTAAAATGATACATAGAAAGAGCTTTGTACTCCTTTCCTATTTTTTTGGGGAATTATTTTTTTTAATTTAAAATCAACATTTTGTGAAGGTCTTCAGAATTTTAGCTTTGCACGAAAACATTTAAAAGTTTCACTACTGAAGAGAATCGAAATTGACCCAATACCATGTCAGCTTGAATCACACTTACTCATTTTGTAACGTAGAATGTAAGAAAGTATTCAAAATCCAGTTTAAAGCAAGTTGAAATCGATTAATAAGTAGTGTAGAACATCAAGAAAAAATTATCTCTGATATGCTCTTTATTTACGTTTTTCGTCACAAACTTCAAATGGTATGTGGTGAAACCATCAGTAAAAGTTAAAGCTCCCACAACATGTACAATCAAGAAACTGAGCGGAAAACCTCTATGAGGTAAACCTTTCAGAACGGTAAGAAGTACCGGAGGCTAAAGTCAACACATAGCAGGTTAGAAACACTTTAAAAATGCCATTTATATCTAAGAACCCTTCTGAAAACAATATAAATGTAACCCTGCGCCTATAATAAGGTGTTAAGTTAAATCTTCTTTGGCCATAACTTCAAAAATATTTCACATTTGCTTTATTTTTCTTTCTACATATTCAGTAAACATTTGCTCCTAAAAAAAAAAAAAAACAGAAAATGACATCTTCTAAAAACAGTAAAAAGGGACAGACAAAAACAAAAGCTTTCTGAAAAGTTTGAGCCTATCCTCCCTCCATTTATCATTAATAAATAAAAAAAATATATATATCTCCAAAATAATTTTGTCTTTCAGCAAGATTGTCTCAAAATAAATGGTCCATTGAATATTTATTGACATAGTAATATTTAATACTGTAACAAAAGTTGATGGTAAAGCAATACATCATCACGCTTGACACATAATAGCAGTCAGTCTAATTACTGCTGAATATGCTACATAATGTTCAGACTGTAAGTATTGCATTTCATACCGGGGATAATGTCAGAGATGTACGGAGGAAATAGAAACACATGGCAACATTCTCCTCATTATATAAAAATAAGAAATCTTTTTTTTTTTTTTTTTTTTTTTTTTTTAGTTAATGCTATTGCATCATTACAGTACATGTAGATGCAGGCAGATTCTGTCTCAGATTTATTAAGCTGCCTATACCTCTATTTTCCTTCTATAAAGTCACCATTTCCAATCAATTGGCCAGGAGCTTTTTTTTCATAGTAAACTTAGAGATATTCCAAGCAAACTCAAACAGATGAAACCATATGATGATGATGGGGGGATAACTGAGGTGGAGTGCCTTCAGAGATCAGTTTATAACAAATAAAGATGAAGAAGGCAGTTGATAATAAACTATTGGCTTTTAGACATTTTTCTCTTTAAAAAAAATCCCAATAACTGGTTTCCAGTCCTAAATGAGGAAAAAAAGTGAGCTTTCCATTAACTTAGAGCCCCTGCAGAGTGGTAGGATGCAGCCTCTACACCACTAAACATTTTCTGATCTGCCTCGTATTGTATAATTAGCACCACGAAAACCTATGTACATGAGAACTATTGAATATGTTTTATGCTTACTCTGACACCAGTGTATTTAATCACATTTGCAGTTTTGGAGGAAGTCAAAAAGGCATCTCCAGTATTTTTACACAGTCCTTATTCAAGATTAGAAAAAATAAAGTAAAAAAAAAAATACACAAGGTCTGCCCCTTATTCTGACCCCAGGAGCCAAGTCAGGGGAAACATGCATGGAGTTGGACCAGGGTTTCTGCAAGTTTAAGCAAAATCTATGACTTTTAAGGACTTTCTTTAACCATATGCATAACCAAATATAGAACCTACATTTATTTTAAAATTACCTTTATTATTTTCTTTAATTTTTATCTGAGATTTTCAACTGACTAGATATCTTAAAAAACAAACCACTTAAAAATCGAATTACAAATTTTACTTTTATCCCCTTTCTTGTTCAAATGTTGTCAGCTTTTTAAATGTAATATACCATTAAAATAAAGCTGTCAACATTTTTTAGCCATATTGAAATTCTTGTTTTTAGTTGTGGTACATTTAGAATTTTAAAGTGCAAATACTAGTTAACCTAGTAAGAACATTTGGAATTTCTTGCCTAAACTTACAATAAGCCATTTGTGGAAGCAGGATTTCTTTGCAGCTTTGCAGGAAAAGCTGTCCTTTTTAAATAGCCCATTGCTTCGATTCATTATGTGATTTGTAGTTTTGTAGCATTGTGACAACTTCTTAAATTCTTAGTCAGGGTAACAGTTAATGGAAGAATATGTTTCCATCATTAATCTCATAAAAATAAATATCAAAAAGAAGCTGGTCAAATCAATAAACAGATAAACATTCAAATTTAACACATAGCCAAATATAATTTCAGAATTAAATCTTTACAAACACTCTCTGTGTATTCAAGTCTTATCAACTCCTAAACAACGAATATTGAAGATTTTTATTGACTTCTTAGGATCTTGCAGAAACCCTTTAATGTTGCCAATGTTTTTGATAAGCAGATTTATTAGATGAAAATAAAGCCTCTTTTTTTAACAAACACAATCACATTTTTTTAACCAATTTTTGAGAACAAGAATAAATGTTATCCTTCAAACAAATACATCTGCAAATAGGTTAAGGGATAATTCAGGACAAATGAGCAAACTCTGTGTGAAACTTTGACCTTTAAAATGAACCAGGTTACAAATACATCTGTTGACATTCACTCACTGGTGGCATTAAGGGGTCAGTAGCTTTAGGACAGACCTCACAAACAAAAACCACAACCTTTTAACATCATCGTTATAAACATAGAATAAATGTAAATTGTATAGTGCTTTATATTGTTTATAAAACATAAATACACATTGACAGAGGCAGTGACATCGTGCTTCATGTTTAGGGACAGGGCAGTACTTTATATTCATTTTTTTTGCTGCTATATAAAAATATGTATCTTTAAATACTATCTTTTGTACTTTTACCTTGTTCTTCATTGACAAAAATATCCCATTTATATTTGCAGACATTCATACATTACAATCATGGTACATAACACGTATACATATACATGTTACCGTTTAAATGTGTATGCATATAGATTGAGATTTCGATTTGTTTTCTTTTTTGTAGTGCACATATTATGCCTCTAAAGTTGCCAAATGAAAATATAATAATACAAAAAAAAACATAAAAAAGAAAATTGTTACAAGGAAACAGTAATAGTAACAGTTAGGAAGTCTCCCGAATAAATTGAACAAAACGGAATATTAAAATAATAACAATAAAAAATGGCAACAGTACAAGAGAAAGCAAGAAACAATGAGTCACATAAACAAACATTGAAATATAAAACAGTCTTCACTTAAACAATACAGGCAAAAAAAACAAAAAACAAATTCACAGGCGAAAAAGAAGAAGGGGCGCTCACTCCACAACATTAGCCCATGTGTTCTCTCTCTCTTTCTTTTTTTTTTTCGGTTCCGGGTCCTGCTTTGTGCTCAGATCGACATTTCAACCTCAATAAAGAAAGAAATAAACGGGCTAGGTGCCTCAGAGTGGACCCACTCACAATAAACACCTCCCCTATCCCCTAAAACCTCAGCTCTGGACAGAGAGAACAGGGGACAGGAGGCAGAGACCACCAAGCCCAGTATTTAGAGGTTGTCTGAAAGAGTTATTATTTTTTTTTTTATGATAAAAGTCCCTCCTCTTTGCGAAGGCATTGGTTCACATCTGATACAAGTCTGAGCTGCTGCAGATTTCAGAGACCTGATGGGAGTATCTGTGTGTCGCCATGGGCGTTGAACTTCTGCAACGTGAAGCTGTTTTTTTTCCGGGGTCACATCTCCACAGAAATGCTTTCCTTTCTTTCTTTCTTTCTTTCTTTCTCTTGCATTATCCTATTTAGATCTGAAACGGATGAGATTTTCTCCCATGTTTCTTTCCTCATTGCCTTCACTCTGTCCCTCAGTATATATTAGCTTTTTACTTTCCAGCACAGCAAATGAATTTCATCTTCATTGTGTGAATGACATGAAAAATGGCTCAGCAGAAGACAGTGGCATTTCATGTTGTGCCTCATGCATCCCTGTGCGTGTCAAATGTACGTATAGCTGCTGTTCCAAGTCAAAGGAATCTGAGCAATGAACTCCAAGGAGAGGTTTCTTCTGTTAGGACGTCCAGATCCTTGAATTACAGGGTTGTAAAAGTGGGGAATGTTAGTTGCGCCGGCATTTTCACTCAAGGTCCCAGGGGCTGGAGGGGTTCTCCGGGCTCTCAGTGGTTGAGGACTTCAAAGAGAGAGGGAGAAATAAAACAGACAGAAGAGGAGAAAAAAAAAACAGAGATGGGTAGAGATGGGTCGCATGGCAGGTAGGCAGACGGTGGAAGAATTTTTTTTTCTTTTTCTTTTTTTTTTACATAAAGCACAAGATTTAAAAGAGGCTGTGATACTCAGATCCTCATCTTGCCAAGTCCAAGCAGCAAATGAAGAAGCATATAGAGCAGCCGAGCAAATGAAGGGTTACAAGTGAGCGAGCGAGCGGTCTGTCTTCCACAAGAAAAGACCCCGAACATATTGTCCTTGGTCCCTTATTTTCTGATTTGCACAAATACATTCAACAAAAAAGGAAGACGAGAAAAAAGATAATGGAAAAGAATGAAAGCAAGAGCACTAGCAGAAGGGCAACCGACAGAGGGAACAAGGTAGGGGCACTGGTGCTCGTTGGGGTGTAGCTTTAAGATGTGCTTTACTCAATGAGAGTATTTTAATTTTAAAAAAATTCATTGTGAATTAGTTCTTTAATTCAGAGCACTTTAGATTGGTAACATACAGTCCCTTGTAAAAGTTCTCTTACACCTTGAAACTTTTAGATCTTTGTCACGTTAAAACCAAGCAGCCATTTTTTTTTTTTTGGCGAAGACCAATAAACAAAACATTGATTCTGAAGCATAAAGCTGTCAAAGGGAAACCATAAAAGACCAAAAAATAAAATAATTTTCTCAGTGGGGCTAAAAATTAGTGCATATCAGTCTAATGTTATGCAGCAATCATCAGCTACTTCCTGGTGCTCTGTTACAATTTGACACATTCAAGGTTGTGATTTAACATGACAAAATGTAGAATAGTTAAAGGGGTTTAAATACTTTTTCAAAGGCTTGCAGGTTTTTGTGACGCACTTTTTAAACTTGTCAGTCGTGCCCTGTTCAAAATATCCGACTAAATATAAAAATAACAACGTACTATTTGCTGTAGCTCAATAATGAAAGGTTCAATCTGAAGTGCATTTTTATTTTCTATGGCTCTTTATAGGAATGCATTTCTGGAAAAGTCACCCAATCAGGTTTCAAATGATTGGCATACTGTTTTTCCTCAATCTGGGAGACTGATGATTGTACTTGTGTCAGCCTCTGCATCCAATGAGCATGGGGTGTGTTAGTGGCAATTTGTGCATGCATATGTTTGTCGGTCAGTCAGAGCGCCAGCAGGGAAGGCGAGTTCAAGGAATCAGATGACTGCTCGCTACTGCTGTTCCGCTGGTTGGCACTGACCCCGCAGGCTCCCTCTGGGTAGGTGAACACAAATGAAGATGTGTATGAGGTGTTGTAACTGCCAATGGCAGCATCGTCATGGTTAACACCACCACCACTGTCACTGGCCATGAGGCATGGCCCACCAGGGGCTGGCTCAGCTGAGCCGTAGAAAGAACTAGAAAACTCTACCTCCTGCATCATGCCTGCTTGGGGGAGCTGTTGCTGGACTTGCGGCTGCTGCTGCACCGGAGGCTGGGGCTGTGTGTGGGTCGGGTGAGCCGTGTAGGCAGGAGGGAGATAGAAAGAGTCCTCCTTCACAGTCAAACCCACAATGGAGACTGGAGGTTGCAGGTTCTGAGGAGCGAGCTGGGACTGCACTTGAGTGAGCGTCGCTGAAGGCTGTTGAGCCGGATCTTGGTATGGAATCTTGCAGTTTGGCTGGTGGGCCACCAGTACAAACTCCAGACGCTCTTTCTCCTTCTGAAGCTCTGAGATCTCTGCCTCCAGCTCTGCCTTCTCCTCCTCTAGTACATCAGTCTCCTGTGTGGAGTTACAGAGGGGAAGGGAACCACACAAAGGTGGGTGGAGTTGGGAGGAAAAAGAAGGATAAAGGTGAGCTACATGCAGTTTAAAAATATTTGTAATATGCATTTCTGCTTTACAGTTCTGGTTAGAGGTTTAAGTTGCCATAATACTTAGTTAATAAAATCCCTTTTCTTGAAATGTGGAATGGCCATAAAACCAAAAACTCTCATGAATTTAAACATTGAGTGTACACATGTAACTTTACAGCAGCTTTTCTCTCATCCAAAAAGAGTAAAAAACAAACAAACAAACAAATATATAACTTAATCCTCACAAATATTTTATTAAAAGTCCTTAATGGGGCCATAGAATGATTATATAAGGTATTTGGTGCTGGTCCTTAAGGTCTCTGAATAGGGTGTGTAACAATGGTGGGGCTGAAAATGGCATATTTGCTGTTCTATGAGTCCTAATGCAGGCCTGGTTAAAAGCTCTAGAATGAAATGGCAGGTTTTCTTCCTTTTATTGTATGCTCATGAATATTGAGTTGAGCTGTGCGCTGATTGATTGGTTAAAAACGAGCGAAGCTGCTGAGCAAAGACGCATCATAGCAACAAGCACTCAAAAACATCGTAATTGTTGATATGGTAGGGTGACCAGATGTCCCCTTTTTCCTGGACATGTCCTACTTTTCATACCTAAAAAAATTTCTGGGGGGAATTTCGACTACAGATACGCACCGGTTTCACAAGCAACCTCCTCCCCACACCCCGCTCTCTCTTGTTGTGCCAGTGCAATCGAAGTAGTTCGAATGAGCACATGGTGCACGAATTATAGTATTGCCTGCACGCTCCTTCTTGCATTAATAAAACACCACCTCGCACAGTGTAAAATCCGGAATAATTTATCCGTCTCGTGGGCATCCATGAACAACTATCTATACAACTATCTATATCAAGAAGACTCCTGGAACTTCCGGGAGAGTTGGGATGTCCCGGCCCCCAGCCCCCCTCCACCGGCTGAGGACGGGCTGCTCATGGCTCTCTGCTGTCCAGTCAGCGGCCCAGCAGTCGACACTTCATTCCCCCATTTGGGCCAGCAAACCAGTGGGCTGGTCTGTATGTCAATTTCGGTGCGTGAGAAAAGTACAGGCCAGAACCAAATAAGGCAACATCCCCGAATTGACGTCAATTCGGTGCTTTGTTTGAATTCACCCGTTTTATGGTGGAAGTTTAGAATTGTGAGATTTGCAGAGAAAGGAAGTGTCGATGGGGTTTCAACTTCCCTGTATGTCCATTTCACCCACTGAACTATCGTTATTCATCTATGTCAATGTAAACTCGATTTTGCATTCTATGAACCCTTTAAGCAAGTTAAAGAGAACCGAGAGATTTCTGTAGCCATTGACTGGATTCTTATCAAAACCAGTTTGGGATTATTGTCCAGCTGAAACTCCAAACGCAGGCAAGAGTGCAACCTTTTTGTGTCTGATGATGAAGAGTACAGTACACCAATACCTAATGCAATGGGGGGTGAAGCGGCATGATGCTGCCACCTCCATACATCTCCATAGGTAAAAAACAAAACCTCTGCCTGGGTTTTTAGAAAAATCTTCTCACCTAATGCCCAAATGGCTCAGCTAAAATGGCATAGATGTATGCAAAAAATGTCTTCCTGTTTTTCCCCCCAGCTCTGATGCTCTTCTCCTTTACAGGTAATATGCCTTACAGTAAGTTCCTTAATTAGGCCTTAAATACAACAGGTACAATAGTCCTTCTTCAAACCTTAATGTCTTTTCCCGTAACAGCTAAACACAAATTACAATTATCCTATTCCCTCTGTACCGATGTAAACTATTATTAGCATACTTCACAATGCAATGGGAGTTTCTGTGTAATGATAATCATCACTCATTCTGGCTTCCAAAGCATGGCTAAACTCACCGACTGCAGTCTGTCTGTCAGTTCCCGTCTACGGTTTCTGCATTTGGCAGCAGCCAGCTTGTTTCTCTCACGACGAACCCGCCTCTTTTCCTCCTCCTCAGGTGTTAACTGTAATCAAAGAAATACATTTAGGTGCTAAAAGTTTTTGCTCATGCTTAAAAAATATGTGTATTGATATCAGGCACACTGAAATGGGAACCCTGTATTTTCTCCTTTGAGAGATGTTTTGGAATAGGGATTTCTATCACATTATTCTCATTTACCATCTGACTGAAGAATAATTTTTTTTGATAACAGCAAGAACAACTAATTATAATTCCAGCTGACAATCAGCAAAATAATTTGGAGATTCTTTTTTTTTTTTTTTTATTGCATTGCTCTTTCTTTGTATGTTGCTACAAAGAGCCATTTGGATAAGTTGTAGCATTTCCACTCGCTAACCATAACCCACAAAGTCAACAAGAGTGCACAATAGCTGGATTTGATTTCTTTTGTTCTCATGTGAGGCGTTTACCTTCACCCAACAGACAAATCTTCTCAAGCACACAGACTTACTAACACACCAACATCTCCATCCTCACTCACAGACTCGTCTCGTGCACGGCGGCTGCGGGGCCTGGACTGCCGGATGGGGCCCGGCGCAGCTGGAGCTGGATTTTCTGAACTGGGAGGAGTGAAACAGGACCCAGAGGAGTAGCTGGGTCCCGGCATGTCGTACGGGTCCACCAGTGACACTGGCTGAGTCATGGTGGTAGTGCCAGTGGAGCTACTCTGCCCAGAGGCCTGGGAGGAGATAAGCGTTGGCTGCACCATCCACTGCAGGTCCTGACTGGTAGTTATGGCGGTGACGGTGGGCACAAATGAACTGGGCATCTCACCTCCAACACCGCTCCCTGGCCCGCTGCCCACAATGCTCAAGCCGGTGCCTGCTGACACACACTCCTAAACAAGAAATGTAAAGATTTTTAATATATGTATGCATGCAACTCTACAAGCCAAATTTAAACCATACATCTGCTTAATGAAGAACAGCCTATAACCTCTTTAGAAAATAGTAGAAGCAGAGAGTTCCTTAATCAAATTAGTTTCAATACAAGTTTCAAAGACAGGCAAATGAGGTTCTATTTTTGAAACATCACAACATTATATATATATAGACTGTATACGACTTTGCAAATTGGCTTATAATATAATAAATAACAGGTCTGGTAGAGAGTTTCCTTCAGGACAGTGAGAGGAACTGACTGGCTTAAGTGTTGTGTTAGATCTGTTATAGGGTCTTCACAACAATTCTATGCCAACTTAAACCGCAGTCGTCATGCAAACTGTACCAAAAGCAGAACATAGAAAGTGCTACACAGTTTAATGCTTTTAGTCCTTAACTTGTTTTATTGCTTCAATCTAACAGATCTATTTAATAACTGCTTAGACTAAATTGTTGAGGCACTTAAAGGGATAGTTCGGTATTTTTGACATGAATCTGTATGGCATCCCCATCACCAGTGTCATGCAATCACACTGACTTACCCCTGGCAGCATCCTGTGAGCAGAGTTCTCGTCCAGTTTTGGTCAAGCCGAAAGTAGTCCGGCAGGTTTGCTAGAGCCAGCGAAATAAAACGTTTCTCTTCCCAAAACATTATGTGTTCAAAAGAGTGATATTTTTGCATCCCAAAAACATTGTAGTGGAAAAAGTCACACGTCGTTATCACTTGGTCCTATTTTCTCTCTGTTCGTATCAGTGCGCGCCATCATTCAGACAGCTAGGGCCTACTAACCTGACAACAGCCAGATGCATGTCTCCCTCCGCCCAGCTAGGAGCTAGGCGGAGGGAGACATGCATCTGGCTGTTGTTAAGGTCGCTGTCTGAATGACGGCGCGCACTGATACGAACAGAGAGAAAATAGGACCAAGTGATAACGACGTGTGACTTTTTCCACTACAACGTTTTTGGGATGCAAAAATATCACTCTTTTGAACACATAATGTTTTGGGAAGAGAAACGTTTTATTTCGCTGGCTCTAGCAAACCTGCCGGACTACTTTCGGATTGACCAAAACTGGACGAGAACTCTGCTCACAGGACGCTGCCAGGGGTAAGTCAGTGTGATTGCATGACACTGGTGATGGGGATGCCATACAGATTCATGTCAAAAATACCGAACTATCCCTTTAAGAAAACATTTTCTTATCATTTGTTTTTATAGTTTTACAATAAAATGGCTTGATTTTGACCAAAATAATTAACTAATCTTATTTTTTAAGTCTAAAAGAATGTATTCAGAAGGCCTATTAAATTAAAATATGTGGAAACACCTTCAACATCTCATCTCCAACGTTATTTGACTGCTCTTATAATTGGGTTCCTAAAAAGCTGACATGACAAACTGAATTTGACTGTAACTTATAAAAGGATCAGTTTCGAATTGCCAGAAAGTTGATTATATTGTCGTAAATTGCTGCAATATAAATTAATCCAATTAAAATTCTGTTTCAAATAACTGCATCTGACGGCTTTAAAGTGAAGAAAACTGGGTTGCAATGAACCGATTCTTGATGGGGAGGGAACTATACATGGGTGTAAAAACGCAGATGGTGAGATGTCTCGCTTGTCCTGTTTCCAGGTTTATTTTAGCGCCGCGGAGGAACAACTTCTGTCTGAAAGCGTGTAAAGACATTGGGAGAGGCGGATCAAAAAGCTGCAGACACCGACCAATAGTTCTTCTTCTTCAAACGTCTCCCTAACTCCTCCCCACCTCTCGTCAAACCCCTGGTGTTTCCCTTGGCAACGAGACGTGGCGCTCCAAAATAGAACACGCATTTACGTCACGGCGAGCGGAGAGCGGAGCTTACGTAGGGAGTTCCAGCTCTGCGGCGCCGCGTGCCGGTGACGGAGCACGCTGTCGGAGAGGAGAAGCGCCACAGCCGCAGAGAACAGATCACTGGGAAACTTGATCCACGCTTTTCACACGCAGCTAAATCCAGAGTTATACCGGCTCTATTAAAGATGAACTATTTGAATATCTATAGTGCATAAAACAGTAAAAATATAGCTAATATAGTCCGCTTGAACTAAAAAAATCACTGCAGAACTAAAACAATGAATGTTAATGAATAATAATAGCAAGCAGCATGCTTTCTTAACACCAACTTACCTGCGGAGCACTGGTGGTGGGCGGGCTCCCGAAGGAGTCCACGGAGGATAGATACTGGGACTCTATAGAGGGAGACGAGCTTCCACGGGATCCGCTGTCGGGGTCGCCGGGGAACCCTTGGTACATCTCCCCGGAGGGACTGAAAGAGAAGGCGGCACCTGCGATAACCAGAGAGCGCGCGGTGTCACCTGCAGCGGCAGGGCAGCAAGAAGGTTACTAAGGGAGGGTTACTGTTGGGAGAAAACAACCTATATTACTAGCAGGGAAGAGACAATCAAACTTAACTCTGTTTCTTTACAACTCTTCCTGTTAGATACCAATAAAAGCTGCTTTGCAGCAGCAGAAAGTTGTGCCTCTTACCTTTAATCTTTTTGTTGTTTCCCGGTGAAATGGTCTTAGTTTCTTTCCAAAACAGTTGCATGAAGAAACTTAATCCTGCTCCCCTCGCTGAGGGAGAAATCGCTCCAGTTTAAATTCTTGAGGAACTCCTGGTTTATATCGGTAAAGAAAAACTCCTCGCGCTCTGCTCTTCAAACAGCGACATGCGGTTATACATCCATGAAGCGTCCTTTAACAGTGAGGCTGTTGTGGACACCGGCCGGGTTTTTCACGGTGCGGCGTAGTAGATCTCTTACTCATGAATGAAAGCCATCCGCTAAAAAACTCTGTTTTCTATAACAACTAGTCCCGCCTCGGAGTTCCGCTGACGTACATGCCCATATTTGACTAGATGTTGTGTTTGGTATCCTTGGTGACGTTGAGGGATTCCCTCTTCCCACTGAATGGACCAGAAGCTTGCCGACGGATAATAATAGACTTTCTTTTCTTTTCTTTTCGTTTTTTTTTTTTTTTTTTTTTTTTTATATTATAACAGACCAAAAAAAACAACAATTCTCATCGTCTGACAATGTCTGAGAGGAAATTTTAAGAAACACGAGTGTGATAAATATGGAAAGTTTCTATTTAGGACCATAAAATGCGTCCGAGGTAGGAACATCCATAAGTCATGGTTATGTTTTATACCTAAATTATTTTACCTGTATTGGAAAAAGTTACATTAATGAATTCTAAATTTGGGTTACTGCATAACTAGATGCATACCAAGAAAACTACAAATATATTGACAGTCATTCAAAAAGTGGCTACTTCCATGATTTATTTGTGTAAAAGCAGCCTATCATTGTTCTCCAGGAAGGAATCCCATCAGTCAGCGAGGGAAATCCGGCTTGAAAGTTTCTCAGAACACGCCCTTAGGGGTTATAATGACTAAAGAGGGAAACCTCCTTTTCATCTAAGCACTTGAACACTCCCTAAAGCTGGAGTCAGGTATTATTCCATGAATGGACTAACCGCAATTTGAAAAATAACATTAAAACAGAGCCATGCATACAATGCAAGGGTGAGTTTAAACACCTTGAATCATATTAGTTTCTTTTATGCATTCAAAATACAATCAATCTAGTGTTACCCATGCAGACTTTGACCACATGTCTTTCCATAAAGAAGTAATTATATTAACATGTCATTATTTCTAGAGTTTCTTTTTTTTTTTCAAAGAAAGTGACTGGAAATATAGGATTTATGTCATGTTTTTTTTTTTTTTTTACAAGAATAACACAGCTTAAGGCTTTTTTTCTGTTTTCTTTGTCCTCAGAAGTAGAATTTTACAACTTCCTGGTTGGAAATACAAGGATGTCCCCTGAAGTTTATTTTTGCCAGACTGAAGGCATAAAGATGCAGACTCACAACACCACTTCAATTTACAAACTCATTCATTTATTTGTTCTGTAAAGAAAATCTGTCTTTTTGTTCTGGTCCACAGTCTTATAAACTGTTAAAAATGATTTAAAAAAAAAACTCTAAGTTTCTTTCAAAGTTAAGATAATGAACGTTTGGGTTACGATTAGATTTTAAGGTTGTGGGATTCCTCAAGGTTCAGCGTCCTACAACCTTTAGATGCATATGCTACAGAGAACTGGACTTCCTGCTGAAGGGGGTTCAGCCATCCGATTGAGGTGTGCATACAAGGACACATATGAAAGGTGCAGGACACAGGACCTAGAGGACCGTAAATGAGGAAGTCTGATATAGGGCATAAAAACAAGAATCTATAAAGTGCAAATGACTGAGAAATGTGTGTTGATACTCTTCAGAAAACCCCCTTATTATTTTGATACTTTTTGAAACATTATGAAAGTTTATATATAAAGTATTCATTCGCACCTCTTGCGGTTTAAAATCATAAGGACACATAGTATTCCATAGATTAAATGTTCTGGGTGTTTGAATGCAAAAATGTAACTTTTCTTGCTATTGGCAGTGAAAGAAACACTAAAATATTCTAGTTTTCTGGAACGTTAATCAGAAGTACAAATAATGTGTTTGTTGTAAAGTGTGGAAGGTGGTAAAACTTGGGCTACTCTACCTGTAAACCTTTTTTTTATGCTTGGTCCTGCTAAGGACAACACACCTGATCTTGGGTATTGCTGAGAGCATAATCATCATCCACAACCTTTTTCCTAAGAATAATCAGCCATGTGTAACAACTGACTGGACAGTGGGCAGCAGTGACGGAAATCTGAGCCTGTCACTGTAATCAGCACAGAAAGTGATTCATTGTGAAGCCTACATTTGGACACCAGAATGTGATGGGTGGGAGGCTGTCCTTTTTCTTTTTTTCTTTCTTTCTTTTTTTTTTTTTTTGCTATGGGTATTTTCTCAATAGGCCAAACGCGGGAAGAAGGGGTGGGAAATAATCTTGAATGAATGAAAAAAAAAAAAAAAAATCTAACCTACTACAAGTCCTACATCCTTCTGGTCGTGATGTCAGACAATGTGTCAGGGCGGGCGGGCATGCTACTGTGAAAGGGCTGCATGCTGCAGCTGATGTGTGAACAGGCGTGAGCAAAAAGGGAAGAGTTGGGGATAACAAGTTATTACTCAGAGCTGCAACCACGTCAGAGACGAGGATTCACGGAGGACGTTATGTCCCGGACCGCCGTTAACGGAGCCGTGTGCCGCTGAACCGGGATGACTAACTCCGTCAATGTAAGTTGTTCATGATGGGGAGTTATTAAAGTGAATGGGTAATAACGTACGTAGAAGAGCAGCCCACACTCACAGAGAGCGACACGACAAAAAGACAGCTTTTGACCAGATGAGGACTCAGTCACTGCAAATACAAAGGAAACTGCTACTTTCGGCTATATAATTATAGTCTACAAGCCAACATGCGACATAGGTTTATCTACAAATGTTCGTTTTTAAAAATACTACTGCAACATTAAAACTCACAACTGCGCTAAAACAAGGGACAGGAACAATATGTATGAATGTGTGTGTGTGTGTGTGTGTGTGTGTGGCGTTCCGTCACTATGGATACGCCGTTACCGTCTGACGCAAGCGCGTATAAATTTGTCTTTTTTGTTTTGCTGCCTAGCAACCGGTTTCCGTGGCGACACGCTCAGGGCAGCGCCACACAATATGGCTTCCGGATTCTTTCTCCGCCGAGAACATAGGAGTATGGCAATTGGTTTTTGAATATAATAGTTGATCGGCTCAACAAGGCTAATAAATATGATCACCACCATTTAATATTTCTTGCCTTGTTTTTATGCTGTGTTTGTTTTTACAAACGTCTTTTAGTATAAACAGCGGAAGGATATTTTATTTATTTTTTTGTTGACTTTTGTTTTGTAACCATTTTGCTCAATTTGATCAATACCATTTGTCTTTCCATCAACATATCAAATATTTGTGACATCTTCCTTGCATAATTTATTTCTTTTTTCATGTCATGCTATGATTGTTTTAAGGTCTATCACTGTGTTATTGAATATTCTTATATATTTTTTAATACATTTATAAACCATTCAATTGGTTCTGTACTCAGGTCATGGTGTAATGATGAATTCTATGCCATTGTCAAATAAACCCTTGTATTTGATTGCTTAGTGGTCTCATATTATTTATATGGACAAGAGCTGGATGGGTAAGCTCAAGAGATAAAAACAATTAATGATGTCCTAAAATAATTTAGTTGGCTAAGTGAACCTTTACTTACCTGCATATGTTTTCCTGATAAAAAAATGATTAAATTATCCATGTTTTTCCCTTTTCTTCAATCACATAAGGTCATATCTAAATCCTTATGTAATTTATAATTAAACAGATTAAAGTGGTTGACTTTTAGACAACTAAGAAGGGCATTGATACTTAAAATCTGAGAGGGAATACAGAGGAATTTGATAGCATTTCATTTGTCTTTAGGATTCGTAAGCTACTTTTGTACAGAATTGAAAAGAAATTATACGTTTGAACCGAATCAAAAATAAATCATTATATCTTTATACAACTTGCCATAGTAGGCTGGCGCTCACATGGACCCGACTGTTGTTGTTTATATTGACAGTTTTAACCGTTAGCGGCTGCTTTGTTTAGAAAACCTATAATGGTTTCTATAACGAATTGCAATCTCCTAAACATAAGAAAACTAAATGTGCAACTGAGTGATTTAACCCGATAGAACACTGCAAACTGACAGTTGAACATACAGCATTTTATTTCGCATTGAGATTAATAAAGTATTTTTAACTTAATTGAATTAAATGAATGATTAAAATTTTTGTTATTTTCTTTTTTTTTTTAATGATTCTTGATCCACTCTGCTCAATCATTGCATTAACTGAAAATGTATGTGTCCTGCTATCTGTAAAAATGTTTTAAAATAAAAACATTTTTGTATACCTTTAGTAACATGAATTATACTAAAAAACATCTTAAAATGTACTTATAACACTTAAGAGCGAAAAACAAATAAGCATTAGCGTACTTTTTCTAAGTTGAAAATATAATAAAAACAAACTTGAAACAACTAATTTACAACAAGACAAATATTGTATTTGACAACAGTTCAAATATTTTTTAACAAAATAAAGTTGTTTTTTTTTATATTGAATTAATTTCGATGAGTATATTTATAGAGCTCACCCATTCGCATAAAAATCTGCCATCAATAAACTTATGGTAAAGGGTCTAATTCTAAAATTTAACAGAATCTTTGTCAAACAAGTAGTATAGAACCACAATTTATGATCACACAGCCAGGGGATTCAGATGTGTCAGTGGCAAAACAAGTAGACATAAACTGAATAATGCAGCTACCCATATTATAACTTAGTTATATGGTCAGATTTGTTCACATTAATCTTCTATGTTTTCATTTCATTTGCAAATATCCACAGTTAGCATCTACAAAGTGTTAAATCAACTCTGGGGACATTAGCCCTGCACATAGATTTTAACCAATACATATTCATAACTCTGACAACATATTTGAGGGTTATAAAAGTGAAGATTGACTTTCATTCTTCAGTTTTTTTTTGGTAGAAGAAGCTGCTATTTAGATGTCCTTGCAACAGCAATACAAGAAAATATTACACAAGTACAAGAAATGCAACTAACAAAGTGTTAAAAAGTTTCATCATGGTATCTCTTTTACAAGCTAAATGACCCGAAATGGCCTCAAGGCTCATTGCATTCTGGAGTAATGTGGTGCTTGTGAGGCTAATCTTATTTTCAGTCTTCTTTGTTTTCTAACAGTTTGTTTGTTTACAACTTTTGGTAGTCTAGACTCAGGTTAGAAAATATCTCATGTGCTTTGTT